CTTCCAGATCACACTGCCCTTCCTCTTTTATGATCAAAACTGACCGCTGGACTTTTCACTTGTATGGGCACCTTAGCAGAGAAATCCTTCTATACAAAGCAGCCATGTTTCCTTTTTATAACTAGTCCAAGAATGAGCAGTAAACATGTATTGGCCCAGCAGAGGGTGTATAAGAAGCCCTAGGGACAGTACTCTCAAATATGTCATGGCATGTACAAGCACTCAGCTTAGGTATTTATATATGCAATTATTCCGTAGGAAGAATCCCAGGAAGCGAAGAACAAAGTACTTTAATGGAGGGACTCCCTTCTTCTCTGGATGAATGAGCCTGGGCGGCTGAGCTGGCATTACAAGCTGGCAATGGGGAACAGATAGCGTCACTGTGGTGACAAGTTACAGAAAGTGGAACAAGTAGAAACAAGGCGCTGGATTTAAATTATCAATAGAAAACAGGGGAAGGCAAACTGCAGCACTCCAGCTGTGGTGAAACTACAAATCCCATTATGCATCGGTCTCTGGGCTCCATTCCTGTGGCTGAGAGAAATGTAATCCCTCATGGATTTGTAGTTCCACAACAGCTGAAGGGCCGGAGTCTGCCCACCCCTGAAGTAGGTTGTGATAAGGCCCAGTGGATCTGGTGAGGCTGCTCTTTACAAAAGCTGGCCGTTACAAAAGCAGGATGCACAGATTCAGATATGACCAGGATCAGCGGGTCATTGAATAGTGCCAATGGGTCAGTAGGCATTATTCCACACTGATCCTGTACATATCCAATTTTCCATACAGTATACAATTAAACCCTGGCGATTGTGCTACTTTTCAGTCCTCAAATTTTTCCATCATAGCTAAGCCCTGAAGGGGCAGAACTTTGAACCCCTGAAGCATGTTGGCTGTTTTCTGTCCTCTCTGTGGGAACAAATATTAAAAGCTTTTGGACTCTCAGATTTTTTTGGGCACTCTCTTTGGACTTTGCACACATGGTTACAGAAAGTGAGCAGCCCTGCCCTTGACACATAAGGGGTTACTGACAACACATTGTATATCATTAGACAGCGGCTCTGCTAATCTGCCTCTAATCCCTCCAAGGAAATGAGTGTGATTATGCCACTTGTAATCCCAATAACAGGGAATGAAGTGTGTGGTCAGCCCGACCCTGAGCAATGCATCATCCTCATCCTCATCATCCTTCCTCCTGCACTACAAGCATCCATTCCATAGCACTGCTACAAACTGAGCCTCGTCCCCTCTTGCCTGGCTAGAGTTCAATCCATTCTGCTCCCTGTCTCTGACTTTCTCCCTCCCCACAGGCTGTCTCTGCCTCTCCTCTCTAGTGGCTGTCTCTGACTCTCTCCATCTCCCTCTCCTCTCTTGTGACTGTCTCTGCCTCTCCCCCTTCCCAGAGACTGTCTGTACCTCCCCCTCCTTGCTAGTGACTGTCACTGCCTCTCCCCCTCCCCAGAGAATGTCTCTTCCTCTCCAGCTCACCTCTTTAATGACTGTCTTTGCCTCTCCCTTTCTCCTCGCTAGTGACCGTCTCTGCCCCTCTCCTCTCAAGTGGCTGTCTCTTCTTCTCCCCCTCTCCTCTCTAGTGGCTGTCTCTCCTTCTCCCCCTCTCCTTTCTAGTGGCTGTCTCTCCTTCTCCCCCTCTCCTCTCTAGTCACTGTCTCTTCCTCTCCGGCCCTCCTCTCTAGTGGCTGTTTCTTCATTTCCCCTTCTATCTAGTGACTGTCTCTTCCTCTCTCCTTTTCTAGTGGCTGTCTCTTTCCCTCTCCCTCACCTCTCTGTAGGCTGCCTCTTCCTCTCCCCTCTGCTCTCTAGTTGCTGTCTCTTCCTCTCACCCTCGCCACTCTAGTGGCTGTCTCTTCTTCCCTATCCCCTCCTCTCTAGTGGCTGTTTCTTCCTCTCTTCTCTAGGAACTATCTCTTCGTCTCCCCCTCTCCTCTTTAGTGGCTATCTCTTCCTCTCCCCCTCTCCACTCTAGTGGCTGTCTTTTCCTCTCCCCCCTCTCCTCTCTAGTGGCTGTCTCTTCCTCCCCCCCTCTCCTCCCTAGTGGCTGTTTCTTCCTCTCCACTCTAGTGACTGTCTCTTCCTCTCCCACTCTCCTCTAGTGGCTCTCCACTCTAGTGGCTGTCTCTTCCTCTCCCCTTCTCTCTAGTGGCTGTCTCTTCCTCTCCCCCTCTCCTCTCTAATGGCTGTCTCTGTCTCTCCCCCTCTCCTCTAGTGGCTGTCTCTGCCTCTCCCCCTCTCCTCTCTAGTGGCTGTCTCTTTCTCTCCCCCTCTCCTCTAGTGGCTGTCTCTGTCTCTCCCCCTCTCCTCTCTAGTGGTTGTCTCTTCCTCTCTAGTGGCTGTCTCTTCCTCTCCCCCTCTCCTCTCTAGTGGTTGTCTCTTCCTCTCCCCCTCTCCTCTCTAGTGGCTGTCTCTGCCTCTCCCCCTCTCCTCTCTAGTGGCTGTCTCTTTCTCTCCCCTCTCTAGTGGCTGTCTCTTCCTCTCCCCCTCTCCTCTCTAGTGGTTGTCTCTTCCTCTCCCCCTCTAGTGGTTGTCTCTTCCTCTCCTCTCTAGTGGCTGTCTCTGCCTCTCCCCCTCTCCTCTCTAGTGGCTGTCTCTTCCTCTCCCCCTCAGGCTGTGTGAGCAGACCACTTGTCCTCGCTCTTGCTGGATGGGGATATGTATGGAAGTGGTGTGTCCCTTTTGTTTGCTGCCTGCCGTGGATGATGTGCAGAGCTCTCCGTATAGTGTGTGTGTGTCTCTCTCTGCATCGATCTGCCAGTCTGCACTGAACACAGACACCCCCCTTATCTCCACCTCCCCCCAGTGATCGGTGTCTGTGCCTCTTCCTATTGCAGCACTCCCTCTATATAACTGTCTCGCTAGCATTTGCCCATCTCTGCTTAGTTTCTGTTTGGTGCGATTTACTTGTGTATGGCTGGCTGTGGAGCACCCTGCCTGCATCACTTGGTGCCCACCCCCACTCTCCATCACTGCTCCTGCCTGGATTTATCTCCTTCATGCACTTGGGTTCCCCTAATTCAAGAACACTGAGCCCAGATGATCAGAACCCTGTGCCCTCTATACTCTTTCTCTGCCCTGCTTGTCTTTCTGTAAACAACTCTGTGTAAGCAAGTTTCTGCTCATCTGCATCGCTGCCCCCCTCCCCACCAGTTAAACTGTTGCTTTTGTTGTCCCTGTGTTGTCCCTGGGTAGAAGGGTACAGAGGGATCATGTGGCTCCAGGCCCCCTGTTAACCCCACAGCACCATTTGGGCTATTATCGGTGGAGTTTGTGTCCAGCATCAACAAGAGGTCTTCTGCTGGCCTGGGTGACATCCTAGGAAAACATGGACGCTGGCAAAATGGTGAGTACGTTTGACCCAAAACAGATTTGTCTTGCTGGGGGGTGGGGTCTTCTTTTTGGATCAGTGCTTTGCAACTTTTTAAAATTTTGTTTACCCCTTAAATTTAGACCAAATATTTTATAGGTCACCTTTCCACAAGTCACATTTTATCTACTCTGTCCCCAAAAGTATCAACATTTAATGACAGCCCAGCTGTGTACATGGTTCTACTTTATCTGTTAGTTCATTCATATAGTGGCAGCAGATTCCAAAGTGTATTAGAGACCATAGAATCATTCACATCAGTCCTAGCCCCAAAAGAGCCTACAATCTGATGGTACTTACACCAACCAGCAAAGAGACTGTTATTTAAACATCTAGAGCTACATGTTTGAGTGTTTTATTTATAAATATACATAACACAAAATATATTATCTAAAATATTAAAACAACTATATATAAATGTTTGAGTTTTTGTATCTTTATCCTTAAATATAGAGAATATATTATCTAAAATATTTAAACAACAAATGTTTGAGTTTTTATTTATCTATAAATATACAAAATATATTATTTCAAATATTTAAACAACTAGATGTACATGTTTGAGTTTTTGTTTAGCTATAAATATACAAATTATATTATGTAAAATATTCAAACAACTAGATCTGCATGTTTGAGTTTTTGTATCTTATTTTTTTTTTTCACTAAAATATTTAAACAACAGGCTGATGTTTCCCCTGAAGCCCCCAAAAGTATCTCAAATGGCTCAGCTATATTGTTGTACCCAGTTGGTACTATGAGATTAACCTCTTGCTGACAGTTGCTTATTTGGAGCATTGTTTTCAGTCTGCTGCAGATGAGGAATTTGGCAACAAGTGGTTAACATGCTACCAAGTTATAAAATGTTACATGTGTGTAGCAGAGCTGGAAGCGAAAATGTGTTCTGGGAAATGTGAGGATCGTGACTGGTCCATACAAAAACCTGAATTAGGAAAATGTTTTTTGTACATTACCCTCACAACTGCCATTGATTTTAGTATGGGAACAGATCATTTGATATTAGAATGTGAAATTCATGCAGCCTTCTCTACAGTTGTAATTCAGGGGGTAACCAGATAAATATCCCAGCCTGGAGTTATTGTATGTGATTACTATATGAAGTTATACACTTCCCCTGTGTGTAGGAAACCATGTTCACGTATTGCAAGCAGTATATATCCACATAAATTCTTTTTTTGGGGATTTATGCTTTAAATGTTTCTCTAACTTCACTCCTTTGCACAATTTACAATAACAATGCAGTGCACATTTGAT